TGGAAGTTGTTATTATTAAATAAGATTTTGTAAATGAAATGAATGACCTTTAGTTAAAACCTTCATTATTACCTTAAATTTGTTTAAACTGAATTAATAAAGACTTGCTGAAGTTTACTATTACTATATATACAATTTAAAGATTTTAAAATGGCTTTAGTAATCTCTAATTAAAGGTTGATCTATTTTCCTTACTTAATGACTGTCATTATTATTTTGGCTTAAAAGACAAAATACTCCGATAAATCAACTCCAAATAGTTTTGAAAAATATCTTACCGTAGTTTCCCTTGCCGTCTATAAGTTCAAACCAAGTAATGCTTTTATACAAATCATGTCTTCGAAACAATTTACCGTCGTTGTTGGCATTTCCGTCTAAGGAAGACAATTTACAAGAAAATTCAGTATATTAACCTAAATACATATATTTAAATAAACAGGGTGACATTATTTAAAAAGCTTAAAACTCAAGAACACCTGAACCGCTATCGATGACCTACGAAAATTCCCGAAAAAGTCTCAAGCAAAAAATGATAACAAAGCTCAACAGTGCCTACATTTAGACTTTATTCATGAAAGTGTTGAACGAGCTTTTGGTTTTATGGTAATTGTGTATCGAATATCTTATTAACTATCCACTTGTAAGTAATAAATATTTAGCTTTCCAGTCATGTATATGGTTCTGATCGCTATCTTTAGGCTCCTTACCGAAAATATGAATAAAATTATGAGAAAAGAGTTAAGATATTATTAAAAATGAAACGCTAAGGTATTTAGAATTACAGTCTACAAAATGTCCTGTTTTAGTCCAAGAAAATTCAGTCCTGTTTCAAAAGTACACATTGACTTCTCTGAAACAATGATGCCGCCATATACCCAGATATCGGTATAGTCTACGAGTGGATGTAAATAAGAGGGTGAAACATCAACACGAGTGTTTTTTCTCAAAATAAACTCAGTGATTTTATATTCGATCAAGATAAGAATGATAAAACATTTTGTTAAAGTAAGAGACGTGGAAGGATATTGTTTTAGTAACACTGGCGGAAGAGTTGAAGGAGGGAACATTTAATGGTAATCAAATACGGCAAATAACGTAAGATACAGATAACACCAAAGTTATAACTGTTGAAATAAGGTTAATAACCACTAGTTAAGGGTTTCCATTATTACTATGGATTTTTTTAAATGACTTTAGTAATCCCCAATTAAAGGTTGACATTATTTTCTTACTCGCAGGCTGCCATTATTAGCTTGGCTCATAAGCTAAAATAATAATTCTACAGCCTATAGATGTTAAATATGTCTTACCGTAGTTTCCATATCCGTCTATAAGTTCGATCCAAGTAATGATTTTGCACAAATCATGTCTTCGAAACAATTTACCGTCGTTGTAGGCATTTCAGTCTAAGGAAGACAATTTACATGAAAACTGAATATAACCATAAATATATATATATATAAATATATATAAAGAGAGTTACGTTATTTAAAGAGCTTATTACTCACGAACACCTGGACCGATATTGATGACCAATGAAAGTTTGCAAAAGTTGTAAGGCGGAATATTTGGCGATCCTCAAATACGACAAATAATGGGAGAAAATTAAGCTTGGAAAATTTTTGTGTCCGTAGTCAAAAATTTGTTAGGCAAACAGTGAGTATTAAATTAAACAAACTAACAAATTAAAGTTATTTCAAGAAAACAATTTGTATATCAAGTTAAACTACAAGTATCTCCGTAATAATCTGGATAAATTTTAGGATTTTGTTGGAAATTATAAAAAGTAACAGGGTGAGCGGTTCAACTAAAATCGAAAAGTGACGGAAAAAAGGTATCAATGCTGATGGGATCGCCACATGATGTCAGATTATTGCTAGTTCTTAAGAAAATATTGCGACTGAAAAATTACAAAAGAAAAGTTCATCAAAGGCATTTTATTGAAATGAAGCATATGTTTTTCACTTCGATGCATATTTATTTTTCAAAACAAAACTAAGATTACAAGTATTTGTTTCATATTTTTTGATTTTTGTAGAGTAAAATAAAACTAAAGACTCAGATATGAACGAAGAAAATCTTAAAAACATATGATAGTCTCATAATCTGTTGACACAAATATAATATAACCAAAATCGATTTTACACGTAAGGCAACAAAACCGCTGAAGACCAGTGTAGTGTTTAAAAATAATTTGTTGCGAAAGTTGCCAACGAAAGGTAATTTCACAGATGTGAGTTCAGTTTGATGAAGTTCAATGTTATTTTCTTTGTGTTTGGGTGCGATCGACAATCAATCCAAATGTTAACTGTATGTGCAATTAATTGTTGGTGTATTATTTTGAGTATCAAATTTAAATTATTATTCATTGAATTCTGATTGATCATTTTGGCGTTGAACATTCAAACGGCAAGTTGCCAACGAATATGTACTTGTATACAAGTATATCCATTATTCATTAAGGGCATTTGTAGAGTAGAGTTCGGAGTATCACCAGTATTATGGTATTAGTGTTTGAACGCCCCAATTAAATTTTCGTCAGAATATTACTCTACACATTTTGAATGTTACATAATTTCTAAACAAATCCTTTATATATGAATATTTCTAACACATTTTTTAAATCAAAGATGTTAGACAACTGGGGTAGCTTTTTTAAAAATTGTTATATTCAATTAGATTTTGTAAATGAAATGAATGACCTTAGTTAAACCTCATTATACCTTTAAATTTGTTTAAACGGAAGTAATAAACACTTGATGAAGCGACCATTACTATATATACCCTTTTAAGATTTTAAAATGGTTTAGTACGCTAATTAAAGGTTGATCTAGTTTCCTTACTTAATGGCTGTCGTTATTATTTTTGGCTTAAAGACAAATACTCCCATATAATTCACACGCCAAACAGTTTTGAAAAATAGTCTTACCGTATCTTCCTTGCCGTCTATAAGCTTCAAACCAAGTCAAATGCTTTTATCAACAAATCATGTCTTCAAACAATTACCGTCCGTTGTGCCATTCCTCTAAGAAGACAAGTTACAAGAAAATTCAGTATATTTACCGAAATACATATATTTAAATAAACAGGGGGGTGACATTATTTAAAAAGCTTAAAACTCAAGAACACCTGAACCCTACGATACCTACGAAAAATCACAAAAAGTCTCAAAGCAAAAAATGATAACAAAGCTCAACATGCCTACAATATGACTTGATTCATAAATTTATTGAAACGGCTTTTGGTTTTATGCAAATGTGTATCAAATTCTATTCATTAACTATCCATTGTAATTAATAGAATATTAGCTTTCCATCATGGACATGGTCTGTTCGCCTATCGTTATCCTTACCGAAAATATTGAGTAAAATTTATGAGAAATTGAGTTCAAGATATTATTAAAAATGAAAACGCTAAGGTATTTATACATTACATCTACACATTTCCTGTTTACGCCAAGAAAATTCAGTCCCTTTTCCAAAAGTACTACACACTTGACTTCTCTAAACACGTGATGCCGCCATTATACCCAGATATCCTATATGTCTACGAGGGATGTAAAAAGAGTGGTGAACAGCTACGCCAGAGTTTTTTTCTAAACTAAACTCATGATTATATTCATCAATATAAGAATGACAAAACATTTTTAAAATAAAAACGTCGAAGAGTTGAAAGAGAATATTAATGTAATCAAATACCAAATAAACAATTACATATAACAGTAAGTTATAACTCTTAAAAAAATTAATAACCACTAGTAAGGGTTTCCAAATTCACTATGATTTTTTTAAAGACTTTTAGTAATCCCCAATTAAAGTTCATATTATTTTCTACTCACAGCTCCCATATTAGCTTCCATAAGAGAAATAATAATTCCACAGCCTATAATGTTAAATATTCTTACCTACTTCCCATATCCACGTCTATAAGTTCACAAAAATTACACAAATCATATAATTCGAAACTTATATACCTCCTTCAGGCATTTACAGTCTAGAAGACATTTACATGAAAACAATATAACCATAAATATAAATATAATAAAATATATAAAAGAGTTACGTAATTAAAGAGCTTAAAGCCACAAACACCTGACGATAATTGATACAATAAAGTTTGCCAAAAATTTAAGGCTAAATTTGGTATCCTCAAAAACAAAATGCGAAAATTTAAGCTTGGGAAAAATTTTGTCCTAGTCAAAAATTGTTAGGAAACAGTGAGAATTAAATTAACAAACTAACAGATTAAAGTTATTTAAAGAAAACAAGTTATATCAAGTTAAAGCTACAATATTCTTCCCCGTAATAATGGATAAATTGTAAGTTTTTTGGAAGATGATAAAAGTAAGAGGTGTAACATCTGAAAATTTTAGATTTTGTGGAAAAGTATAGTTAAGTAACAGGAGAGCCGTTCAACTAAAATGAAAAGTGACGAAAAAAGGATCAATGCTCATGGATCCGCCCATGATGTCAGATTATTGCTCGATCTTAAGAAAGGATTGCGACTTGAAAAAAAAATACAAAAGAAAAAGTCACCAAAAAGCTTTAGAAATAATATATATTCGATTTCGATGCATCTTTATTTTTCAAAACCAAACTAACATTTACGAACATGTTTCATATTTTTGATTTTGCTGAGTAAAAATTAAAACTAAAGATTCAACTATGAAAGAAGAATCTTGACACAATATAACCAAAATTGATTTTACACCTAAGGCAACAAAACCGCTGTAACAACGGAGTGTGTAAAAATTATGTGCGTAAGTTACCAACAAATGTTAATTTCAAGAGTGAGTCAGTTATAAGTTCAATTATTTTCTTTAGTCGTTTGGGTGCAGCGACAATCAATCAAGTGTTAACTATGCCACAATTAATTTTCGTTGCTACTTATTTATTTTGAATATCAAATTTAAATTAATTATTATGAATTCTGATTATCATTTTGTCGTTGATTCAACTTTTCAAACGGCAATAGCCAACGAATTATGGCTACTTGTATATATCAAAAAGAAAATTCATCAAAGCATTTTTTTAAATGTATAGATAATGTTTTTCACTTCATGCCATATATATTTTTCAAAACAAAACTAAGATTATCCAAACATTTGTTCATTATTTTTTGATTTTGTTAGAGTAAAATAAAACTACAAATTTAATATGAACCTGAAGAATATCTTAAAAACATATAAATCGCATAATCTGGCAGACAAATATAAAAATAACCAAAATCGATTTACACCTAAGGCACAAAAACCGCCTGAAGACCAGTGGATGTTTAAAAATAAATTTGTTGCGAAAGTGCCAACTGAAAAAGGTAATTTCACAGATGTGAGTTCAGTTTGAATGAAGTTCAATGTTATTTTCTTTGTGTTTGGCTGCCGATACGACAATCAATCCAAATGTAACTGATATCCATAATTCAGAAAGCATTGTAGAGTAAAGTCGGAATATCATAGTATTATGGTACTAGCGGGCCTTTGACGCAATTAAATTTTTCAGTAGAATATTACTCTACACATTTTCTAATGTTACATAATTTTCTAACCATATCTTTAATATTGAAAAATATGTTCTTAACATATTTTTTAAATCAAAATGTGGTAGACCACTGGGTAGCTTATAAATTGCACCAAAATATATAATCTGTGTTGAAGTTGTTATTATAAATAAAGATTTTGTAAATGAAATGAAATACCTTATTAAAACCTTATATACCTTAAAATCTTTTTAAACTGAATTAAAAACACTTGCTCAAATTTACCATTACATATATACACTCTTTAAAATTTAAAAGCTTAGTAATCCCTAATTTAAAGGTTTGATCTATCTTCCTTACTTAATGCTGTTATTATTATTTTGGCTAAAAGACACAAACTCCCATAATTCAACACCAAAACATGTTTTGAAAAATTATCTTACCGTAGTTCCTTCCGTCTAATAAGTTCAAACCAGAGTAACTGCTTTTACACAAATCATGTCTTCGAAACAATTTACCGTCGTTTTGGCATTCAGTTCGTAAAGAAGACAATTTACAAAAAATTCCCAATATATTACCTAAATACATATATTTAAATAAACAGTGTACATTATACATCGCGAGGCCAAAAAATATAACAAACCTCTACAGTGCTACATTATAATTTATTCATTAAAGTTATTATTCATGCTTTTGCTTATATAATGTATCAATATTTTTTAACATCCACTTGTAATAAATAAATATTTAGGCTCCAGTCATTAATAGGTTCTGATCCCTGTTCTTATAGGCCCTTACCGAAATATGAAAATTATGAGAAAAGAGTTAAGATATTATTAAAAATCAAACTAAGTATTAGAATTACTGTCTACAAATGTCCTGTTTATTCAATAAAAATTTATCTTTGTTCAAA